ATCAGTCGTGGGAGAATTGGGTTCCATCCTTTGGAGGAGGGGGGGTCAACAATTATCAATTGGGGCAGGCTTTTCCCCCCCCCCCCCTGTCCTCTTGCTACTCTTGGAAGGGCCTCTTCGAAAGCATACGACTATTCTGTGCGGGTCTTGGTCACCTGGAATGTCATGTCTACCATCCTCATCGTGGGTGGCGCCATCTGGATGTGAGATGTATGCCCAAAGTCTCCTTGAGTAAAAACAAACGCGGTCAGATCCAGGCAGGGGAAACCGCACTCATGACAACGTGAATAGCTTTCCATTTCCGAGGGTAGTGTTTGAACGCCGATCAGCCCGGTAACGCAAGTAGGTGCCCGGCGTAGAAACTCGAGCCCGTTCTTTCTAGAGTGTATTTTTCTCTCTTGGGATTATTTGCGTTGTAAGGGGGACCACCGGCTTGGAAACCCGTAACCCGTTTTCGTAAAGAACTTTATCTCTTGGGGATATTTACGATGTTGGTTGCCTGTTTTCACTGCGTTGCGCCACCTAGATAAGAGTTCAGGACGAGAACATGACTGACCGCCATGATGCAACAAGTCTTTCTCCGGAGCCGTGTGTGAACTCCTTTGTAGATTGCGACTATTTAGTAGAACTGACCGATTCGCAACGCTTGGGAAATGTTGTTGAAGGGGACGAAGCGTGCGTGACCCACCGCGTGCTACACGGTCTTCCTGTAGGTCTTGATTTTCCGATGATGATGCATCACATGTGACCCATCTATCTGTAAGCACCGCTGCTGCACATGTGCGAATGAGAAATTATTCAGATTAATCCTTCCCAATGTCATGCGCGGCATCGTTTGGGGACTGGTGGCACACGTAAGTTTGGTAGTCAATTCGGCAATGACTTGGCGAGTAGTTTTGTTTGATGTGATACATATTTCTAATCTACCCAGGCTTTTGTAGGTAGGGCGAAACAACACCACCACAAACGACGTGCTACATGCATGCGTAAAGGTGAATTTCCTGAGACTGATCACACTGAAAAAGAAAACCTGGACATAATCGAAGCAATACAGAAAGCGCCCGCACCTTAGAGTCTCTAGTTTTGACTAAGGCTAGGATTATTTCTCTCTATACAACAAGAGTCCTTAGATTTTTAGTTTCTTGGGGCTATATCACATTCTTAGCTGCGGGCGCTTTCTGTACGCCACGGTATGTTGTTGTTGTTGTTGTTGTTGTTGTTGTTGTCTTCATATCAAAAACCGTTCCGTCCTCTCGGCCCAGTACCTTCTGCCGTCCGTACTAGTCTGACACTTGACGTGGTCGATTCCCGTGACAAGGCCCCGGAAGCCAATAGAAGTCAACGACAGATAGTCTAGGCCATTCCACTCGTCTCTACACGCTATGCGGGGTAACCCTAGACTGGAAAAAGAAAGAGAAAGATAAAATATGAAGAAAAATAGAGCAAATGGAGAGAAAAGTATGGAGGCGGTTGTTGACACGCGCCCCCTTGCACCCCCCGTTGCCCGCCGTGCGTTGTTGTTGTCGTCGTCGTTGTTGTTGTTCTGCTGTTGTTCCTTTCGGGCCGGGCTACAACGTCTTCGTGGATGGATGGATGCGCTCTCTCCATCAGGGCTACGGTACACCCCTGGTACCATTTCGCTGCTCCCGTGGTCTTGACCATGTCCTCTTGTTGTCTGAGCCTCAGCACTCTGTGGTACTAAGCCGGGGCTTGGCCATGTCCTCGTATGGTCTGAGCCTCAGCACTCTGTGGTACGAAGCCTGGGCTTGGCCATATGCCCGTGTGGCCTGCCTTGGTACTCTTTGGTACTGAGCCTGGGCTTGGCCATATGCCCGTGTGGCCTTGGCCTTGGTACTCTTTGGTACTGAGCCTGGGCTTGGCTATGTGCCCGTGTGGCCTTGGCCTTCGTTTCTGCGGTACTAAGCGAACGTCTAGCAAATGCTGTACAATATTTTTGTCATGAGAGGGGTCGGTTTAGTATCGACCGTAGTCCATTTGCCGACATGTTGCTTATTTCGCCTTTTTTGTCGGATGGGAAGACGGGAGCATGTTTCATTTGTTGTCATGAATTTGACCGTAACGCTTAGTTTACGTTTACATTTGTTTGTTGACGTGTTTCACACGAATCAGTTTTCATGCTTATCATGTGTTATTACCATGAGTTTTACTCTGTAACTATGTGTGTACGACTGCATTTAATTTGTTGGCGGGTTTCAGGCATCGGATGATCGAAGTATCGATCCCTGTCTGTCCCGTATGCCTCCTTTGCGGAAGCACACGGGGCCATGTCGCTAGCTTTCTCCGTACTGTAACTCTTTTGTCGTTCCTTTGGGTACTTGAGAGGGAGTATGTACTGTAGTTGTGCAGCAGGTTTCACGTCTAGAGAGCTTGGCATTCAGAGGTGGTGCTTTTTCACGTGTATTAGCGTTAGGTGTACGGCCAAGCATCTACATCAACTGAAACCGCCGCCCAAGTAGGCTCCGGAGTTGTACCCAAGCGGCGACTGTTGGGCTGATTAGTAGGTCGAAACGATCAAATACAGGGGGGGGGGGTCGGAACACGGGGGAAGAAGTGTGAGGGGACCCGGTTTGAGGGCATGATTGCAGCTGAGGAACGTAGGACAAAGACGGCAGAGGGTGTGGGGAGGTATGTTGATGGAGTTGGCAGGGATACATACCCCTCTCCCCTCTCTCATTGTGGGTAAAATAAAAGGAAGCCACAGAAAGATGTTGGGGGCGTGGAATGGCCCAGAGAAGACGGCAGCAATACTGCGGCATAGGGTGTGGGCTGAAAAGGCGGCAATTGGCATCGATAGGATAATTAGGACAGGGGAAACATTTTTGAGCCACCTTTGGCGAAGAAGGAAGGGACAATGGACCATCAGTAATCGGTCCTGTGGGAACTATGCCCCGTCGTCTCTAGGACGCGTGGTCAAGGGTCAAACAGTTACGCCCCCCCCCCCCCCCCCGCTGCGGTCGACTGCCTTGAGATTAAACGAATTGCTGGCCATCATCCCGTTGGTGGTCATGGTGGTGTCATCGCTGTTCTACACCACCACAAGACACGATTGAAAAAGGTGTTCATTTATCTTCCTCCAGATCACATCTCCGGACTGGTACGCCCGACCAATACCGGACAAAATCGACCTTGTCGCCAGCTAGTTGCGCACAAGAGTTGTGGCACGAGCGATGGTGCGACATAGTTGCCTTCGGGCTACTCTCATGTCTCCCGTTCCACACGGGATCGCCGCTTCGCCCCTACGTCCCTCCCTACCTGTCGGCGCATTCTACTGGCACATCAAGGCTCAAGGTGGACTGTGGCTGCTGGGCAGATACATACCTGGACCGACTCTTCAATCCGATCACTGCTGCAGCATCGTCCGCTTCCTC